CTTCATAAGATACGTAAATTGCAAAAAACTCGAGAAGAGACACGAGCAACAAAATACAAATTATGGTTTTCTTCTCTGGTCATGTATATAAAATTTCTATTATTCAATTTTAATTATTAATAGATTTATTAATGGTTACAATATGTACAAAATTATTCTGGAAAATAAAAGGACTGAAATACGTTTTTGAATGTGGGTGTGGGGTATGAGTAAAGGAAAGAACAACACCCACACCCACACCCAAATCGTAGAAGAGATCATAGTCTGAGAAATCTTGCACAAAGTTATACTAAAAGTTTCTTTAAAGATCCTACTACCAACGACAAAATTAATTCTATACCTATTTTTGATGAATATTTTCAATGATAGTAAACAACAAAAGACAAAATTTCGTTAGAAAATTGTTCCATTTATAGAACTTCGTGCAAATCGTAAAGCTGATCATTTTGGTTAAAGAAGCTGAGATTTCTTCAAAAATGGATGATGATACATTCAAAATCCTCAAAATCTTCCGCCTATTCTTGGCTACTGTCGAGCACTAGTTCACGCTTTTGAACGTATCATCATCCATTTTTGAAGAAATCTCAATTTTTTTTAAACAAAATAATCAACTTTACGAGTTCTACAAAGCTCTATAAATGGAACAATTTTCTAAAGAACTGTTGTCTTTTGCTGTTTACTATCATTGAAAATATACATCAAAAATATATGTGCAGCATTAATTTTTCTTTGGTAGTTACTGTCATATAAAATTTCCTATAATCTTCCCAGGCCACAAAATCAGACATTAGATCTTGTAAGATCAGATGAAATTGTACAAAAAATCGTGGTATCAGAAATCTTATATCATATAGTACTAGGAGATTCTTATAAAACCTTACCGTGACATAAGATTTTCTATAATCTTATAGTGGTATCTTATAGGACAGTAAGATCTTACAAAGAACGTCTAGTACGATGTGATGTAAGATTTTTAAGACCACGATTTTTGTACCTTTTTCATTTACGCTTGCAACATCATACAAGATCAGAGATTCGATCATGTAAGCTTTTACCGTCTGATTTTTCGACCTTAGTTATAGTCATATTTTATAAGATAGCAAGATATTGCCGGAACCCTATAGAATGATTCAGAATAAAGTTTCACAGACTAGGATTCTTTTGTACGATATGTGCCTGATTTTAGAACATCAGTGGTATGATCTTGTAAGATCCTGCCATCTGATTTTTTGACTTGGGAAGATTCACTCTATCCCGATTGAATCAAATTATTTTGACTATCAAGACATTGAAATAGATGTCATCCAAGTCAAATCAGCACGGTCGTAAACAATCGTATACGGAGAAATGCGAAATTTATATGATCGTTTACGGGCATATAAGAACTCTGTATTCGTCAATCTAGGTATTTAATATACATTTGCTTCTAACAAGAAACTGTTCTGTTGATGATAGAAAGTTTCTCAACTGTTTTTTTTAATAGATTTCCTTAAACGTCCTCTCTCGAAATGTAAAAATTCATTTGTCCATTGTTATCAATTTCCTTTTATAAAACTGTAGTCTTTCATTTTGAAGTATTGAAGAAATCTATTGCTTACTTGACAATATAACACAACAGAGTTGAGAAATATGATTGATTTGACCAGAATCAAAAGTCGAAAATAGATGCCACAAGGAATTATTGCAAAAACACTTATGTATCTAATGTGATCATCATCAAGAAGATTGACAGGCAAAGATAACCATTTGTATTAGACGAATTCATTGAAAAGATCTATTGAATATTTTTAAAAGTCGTTGAAATTTATCCTGTAAATAGATGTCTGTTTAGGAAAATGATAATATTTCAATGTTCTTCAAAATAATGTATGATTAAACATTGTACAAATATTTTTATTTATGTGTTCATAAAGACCAATGGTGAGCGTATGTTTTTTATTGATGTATAATTGATCAACAAGCGTAGAAAAGACATCTTTGCTGACAAATAAGAGTCATTATAGTAGACTTCATTGTCTAGTATAGTATAATCATGTGAGTGTCTATATTTATGAGAAAAAATTTGATAAAAAGTGGGCTCAAATAGAGCGAATAATTCATATGAAAAAACTGTTAGCGCAATCCCTTGCGGGATTAAAAATGTGAAACACGATGGATCTATTGTTACTAATTAAATGAACATCGTTTTGTTCCATTTCTCCCAGATAGATTTGTAGCTAATCGTTTATTTGATGCTTCGAAATTACGGTTTCTCCGTCACGGTCTGTGATGGTTTCTAGGAGTCCTCTGTCACAGTCTGTGATGGATGCGGAGGTTGCGTGTGGGTGTTGTTCTCTTGTTCACCACACTCACACCCAGCACCCTTTCCAAATGATATCAACTAGTCAAAGCTTCATTTAAATTGAAAGTCGAATCAGGTAATTCCTGCAAGAAAATTTCTTTATCGTTTATAATTAATAATCGAAGTTACTAACGATATAGTAATCATTATAATAATGGATCAAGTTTTATCTGGATTGATGCGCACTGTTTGATCTAAACTCAATGCAAAATAAACAAATATTCATTGAGTTTGAGTAGATAAAGAGCATGGCATTGAGACTAACGACAACTATAGTCTTTTTACATGTATTATTAATTTTTTCAGGTAGATAAGAAAAGTATCTGATTACGTTATATACATAACAGAAAGAAAAAACTGACTGACATATAACGAAGTCGTGCTTAGTAACGCACAAGTGGATGACGCAGCATTGTAGTTTATAAGCACTTTTCTTCTTTATCTGTGTGCTTCATATTCCTGACTTTTATTGTTACAGCATTTGACAGTGTTATAACATATTACCTTTGTATTCTTGCATAGCACATTATTAATTTTTATATGATGACTAATGCCACTAGTTCTCGACAGGGACAAATTTTTGATGATTGTTCACATCCTGATATTAACTTATACTTTGCGTCACAAGATGATGTAGAAAACTTATGCAAGGTAATTGATTGGGCATATAGGGGTAAACCTTCAACATCGTCACCTGGAGAAAGATACTCTGGTTGGATCAGTGAACAAGATTTATTGGTAGGTGCACGAATTACATCCGAAGAACTTCAGGACTTAATTAATGATGAGCAACATAGTGTCCTTCTTGTCGCGAAGCTTAAGACAGCTTCAGAACCAAAGATCATTGGTTGTTGCAAAATTAGTATGCATGACAAAAATCTACAGATTGGTGACGAAGAAAAACAGGATGTAGCTGTTGAATTAGGTCTCAGCGCTGTAGATCCTGATTATCAGAGTCGTGGTATTGGTACACTATTATACAATGGAGCAAAAGTTAGTTTGAAAAATGAGCTGTATTAACTCAGCAGAAAAAATAATATGTTTGCTTCTTTTGTAGCGAGTTGCAAAAGAGTATTTCAATGCACAACGGATTTATTCTTACATAATATACAGCAAACGGAATCAAATTGAATGGCGTTTACGACAGGGTTTTATTGATACTGGACGATTCGCTACTTTTCCATTTGGAGAAAGATTCCAAGCAAAAGTAGATCCGAATGAAATTAAATTTTCTGTTTTAACACAACGCTTACAATAGGATCTGTTGAGAATCTATAGATGCAATGTTTGTGTGGATCTAGTTAATTTTTTACGATGATTCATACATAGATCCACCCAAAATATAGTTGTCGTCAATATAGTGTGATGAAAGAATTTCTTTTTGTAGTTTGATAATAAAATAACAGTAATAACTGAGGATTATTTTTACTTGCATTTATCATTTATTTAGAAACTCAAATGTTTACTCATTGTTTGCCATGAGTTTTGTTGATAAGATTGTAATCCATATTTAGATTTAAACCTTATATCATTTTTAGGTATGAGGTTGCGCTTCGACTACATGATGAGTTATACTATAGCGTTTGACACGTAATAAGAAAAATGCCATTGCTTTATGTATTGTCTTCATCATATTTATGCACTCGCTACTAAACTTTAAGAATATAAACTGCAAAAATGCATGACTCCATTGCAAAGTACGTATCAAGCGATCTATATGAACCTCTCGTCAGTGGTGACGATGCGTACTGATCCTTAAGACGGGTCTTTTAAAAAGAAAGCTTTCTCCTTCAACAGCTAATTAAAATGGGTGTGTGGGTCTAGATGTTGATCTCTTCTACTGTCACTTCCACACCCACACCCATACACGGTAATAATTCAACCTCACATCCAGAAAAAAATACACATGAAAATTCAATAATAACATCAAGTGGTGCAGCTCTAAGATTATATATTTATAATCCAATCAAAGTAAGCAAATAATTATAAAAATTCTTTTTTACCTTGAATGATTAAAACTACCAACTGGTTGAATATAAATAGTTTTGTGACTATTATGTAAAAAAAAAGAAATCTTCTCAATGAAAACAATGAAATGCAAAGATGTCACTTACGTTCCACGAGGAACAGCTTTTGATTTATTACATTCAAATAATTTCATAGTTTGTCTTTTTTCCTCATGATTTCCCAACCAATCACCAAAACTATTGTCGGCGCCAGAATTAAATAGGGGTGGGTGTAAGCTCGATAACTCGACAACCGCAATAGCTAGCGATCTGCGGTTTTCGTCAATCGAAAGAGGAGGAGTTGGGACGTCTTTTTCTCTGATAATGTATAAGACGAAATCCTTTTAAAACTAATCATATTTGAAAAACATGCAAAAGAACCCATGAAAGTGATCTGCCAACTAGATGAAATTTAGATTTTGACCTTTGATTTAGATAGAGAGACTTGAGATCTATAGCTCAAAATACAATGCAATTGATTGTCTTATTACATTCTAACGTTGAGCAAA